GACCGTACATCCGACTTCCATTCTGCATCTTGGAATGGGACTCGGATGTGCGGTCTCCCGGCATGACTCATACGTCTGACTTGAAGAGCTCCTCATCCCTTGGTCGAGGGCATCGGCCATCCAGAATTCCCAAACCGACAGCTTGTAGACTATGCGTCACTTAAAAAAAAACTCATAAAACGTCACAAATCTGTGAAATCGTATGTTACATTTAGATATCGATACCAGTCTTAAGTATGGTGCTACCAATTGTTTCACTGATGTACATTTTTGGAACAACAAATAATACGAAAAGAGGTATATTTTCCAATTTTTTCAACAATTTGAGCCAAAAATCCAAATAAAAATCCATGCGCCAGAATTTTCAAGTCCAATAGAGAGTTCATCGCTCAGTTCTTCCGAAGGTGCTTCAAACTAGAGTTAAGGCACCGTCAGAATGTTTAGTACAGCTGAGTTTTGGAAAACCAAAGACACTAAAACCAACATTAAAAGATTTACTATTTCCGTCCAGGCCGTTTAAAAACAGCAATTTCATAATCAGAGTTCGGAAACTTCATGTTAGCTCTACTTGGATCACATGGTTGTTTGGCTGCTACAACATTGATATTGTGCAATGCGCCTTACCGAAAATTCGTTACGAGTCCACTGACAAATCGTGAGCTCTTCCTATGACTTATTCTTATGCTTTTTCTATGATGATTTAATCACAATGAAAACCTTTACTAATACATGCACTTTACTGGGCACTCCACGAATACAGGACCTAGCTATGAATAAAGTTAAGCTAAAGCCCTCTTCAAAGCTGGCCGCTTACGTGAGGGCGAAATAAAATGGTATGTGTCGATTAAATTCAAGATTCAGGATAGAACAGGTGTGGAAAATCCAGTTATGAAGCTAGAGGTGGGAGGTGGTCTGGAAAAGAGAAGGAAAGCAAACGAAACCACCGATTACGCCCCGCACAGAGACCTCCCTATTTCAGCCGCATTCCACCTTGGGATAGAGAAGGGGCGCGTTGGACGAGTTTCACGAACCTAACTCTAGTTGCTCCAGTGCCAATGACATTGGATCGCAATGGGACCGCTGCCTCAAATGCGCCCGCGCTTTTCAAGCAGCGCCACGTGGCAACGACAGCGGAGGATAGGCCTCGCGGAGATAGATATACGTGTAGACTTTGCTACGCTTCGCTCTTGCGATTTCCCGCTCATCCGATTTTCACAATTGATACCTACCAAACTCTTGACTAATCGCCTACTCCGGCGTTTCAATGTACCCAACTTCCCAATCAATGCCTCTCCAGATCTTGACGGAGCCTCCAGCAGAGTCAACCCTGCGTTGCGCAGTTCGCAACGGCACGTTGAGAGATCCTCAACGCACGCTGTATGGGCGGAGACGCAGACGGCTCGAGCATGCGAGTGTGAATGTTCGCGCGAGAGAACGTGTCTAATCGGGCGAAACTGCGCAACGTGGCCGTTGAGAACTGCGCAACGCAGGGTTGACTCTGCTCCCAGCTTATTTAAGTTTTTTTCGCGTGAGTGGGCAATTCTGACCAGGGCTTAGGCCGTTACAGGGCGCCCCGCAAAAATGCCACGTTCGAGTCCTATAGCGGGCTAGTCTTCGTGTGCATTAGGATTTCCCTTTCACCAACACCTATTTTTTCTATCATCTGAAGTTGAAACATTTCATTTTTTCACTTATTGATCACTAATTCAAGCAAAATTCCCAGCAGTGTTTTTGCTTTCGATAATAATGGGGTGGAAAGATACACTAGCCTTAGTCAAGAACATTCGAAAAGTTATTGAACAAAAACCCACCTTAGAAAGCCGATAGGAACTAGTTGAACGCTCTCGAAGTGGGTGGGACTTACAAATCGGAGGACGCATGCATAGTAGATCGTCCGGTTGTGACGTGTAAAATTAGGATCGCTTTTAGTAAATTCGCGGAATAGCGTATGCGATGCGCCTGTCCTGGACCACGAACGTTACACTTTGCAATGCGTGATCAAGTTCGTCCACAGTCTTCGCCAGTCAGCATAGCCGGTCGTCTGATCGTAACGATCGTTATGCAACTGACTATGCATGTATCCGAAAATTTGTAAGTCCTGCCCAATTCGAAAGCGTTCGACTAGTTTCTATCGGTTCAAAGGTCAGTTTTTTATTGAGTAACTTTTCAGATGTTCTTTAACTTGACTAGGGCTAGTACAGCTTTCCACCCCTTATTATCGAAAGTAAAACCACGCTGGGACTGTTACTTTGAAGCTCAGCTCGACGAGTATTCTCCAGTTTAGGCTTGGAGACGGAGGAAACCGAAAATTGCTGTCAGTCAAACAACTGGGGCTTACCCCAATCAACAGCAAGTGTGATGGTCTGTGACAACCAGCGAATCGCTCAAAATTGATTCTACACCAGAATCTCTCCGGAAAACAAATAAATATGTTTTCTAAGTAATGCTTGTTCACATAAAACTGAATGCGTAGCTCATCACGAATGGAATGGATTACCTTTTTCTGTTCTCAATAAAGACACATTCCACTACAATAGAACATGAATTGTGGTCCATGGTGTTACGTGATTTGACGAAGAGTAGGAAAGTGAATGAAAGTGGCGAAAACCTGGTCTTCCTTCCTAGTTGATTTTGGGCATTGTATTCTATTCTATTGTGGGCCTACTTCTCTGCTCCATTGAACGTCTTCATGCCGACTGGACTGACCATGAGTAGATTGTCAATCGTCTGCGGAGCGGAGAGGTAGTACGGATGGACAAGGGATTGGCGATTTGATTATATGCTATGCTAAGCATACGGTTTGAATGTGTATGCGTATGAGTGTGAGCGCAAGCGTATGACGTACGCGAACTGCTATCGAGCAAGCAATATAGTTACACCAGTTTTGCTCCGCCCGCTATCGCGCGCATCACACGGCAGGCTTTAGCGAAACTGGAGGACCCATGGAATATCAGCATGAGGTACTCCATTAACCACCTCACTATTGAATGTGTTAGACCTTTCCCAGTTTCGCTGAAGTCCATCGAGAATACGCGTGATAACGTCTGGAGCTCAAAATGCACCAGAGTCTCACTAGACACCCTCGCATCCGTTGTTTCATGAATGCGATCTTCTCTCGTTGAACATTGACCAGGGGTTGATCGACGAGGCCTTGATGACAAGTTCCAATTCGCTGGGAACGAATGAAGTAGCAGGTGTATTCCGGGGCTACGTAGTCGAGGTAATCATTTATGCTCCATTTCAAATAGATATGTGTTGGCTTCGAACACGCCTCTTTACCTCGCTTCAATGATTGAATGCGATGACTTTGACCTAAGCAATGGTTTCTACTTGGTCTTCATGCATTCGCTTTCCATTGTGGCTGTTCCATTGAATATGCTGGGTATATACTGTATTCTCTACAAATCAACAATGCAAATGGGCGCCTACAAATGGTATCTGCTAATTTATCAGCTAACGTCTACTGTATTCGATTTCGTGTATCTGGCCCTTACCCTACCGGTGATATTTTTTCCTATACCGATGGGCTATCCAGCTGCTTTTATTGCGCCATGGATATCCATCACCACCCACTTTTCTGTTATGTTTAGTTATTCAGACTGGTTCATTTTTCGGTGCCACCATAATCAATCTTTTCCTATATCGGTGTCACGTTATCACCCCCGCTCATCATTTCTCGAGGATCAACAGTCGCGGTATGTGGATTTGGACATCTATCTATTTATTATTTACCAATCAGCGCCGCACACTAATCGCGCTCCACCTCGGACTCCTGGCTTTTTGAAATGGACGCAAACCTCAAGCCCAACTTTGCTCACAGCCCGACATTCCCGCATCACCTTAGCTTTTTGTCAAAATCGAACTCAAATACTTTAAACCTCACTCAATTCCCTGCTCTTCTTCCAAATGACAGAGTCTAGGTCTCGAAAAACCGAGACAGTTCAAGACCATGATAACACCAGCACGAGAGTACTCGATGATTTTGAGGAAAGGGGTTGAGTAGAGTAGGGGTAGGCGATGTTTTCAACCAAATAACAATTAAAAAGCATTAACAAGCCTACAGCGACTACATACGAACACCAACGTCATATTTCCACCTTAAACTTGGGTAACTTAAACAAAAACGTTTAGTTAACAAATGGTCAAACTAAAAACAACATCGACGCGAACAACAGTGGTGGATAACCAGCAATGGTACAGCTGTGAAGTTTTCAATGACAGTCGCTTTATTTAGGCCACATCTACAAGAGTGCTGTCATATTTCTAACCTATATCATTCCTGATTTCATTGGTTCATTTGGTATATTGCCGGATCAAACAGAAGCCAGGATATGGGCAGAGAAGGTATTGTCAACATGGTTACATTACTGTACACTTGAAAGTGACCGTGAGTGAAGAAAAAGTCAACGTTTCCTTTCATGTTTTTTCTTCCATCAAACCATTAGCAACGAATTTCTTCACGAATCTTATGGGTTTTGGGAAGGAAATCGGAAGAAAAGCCATAACAGCGCTTTTGGCTTCATCCCAGCTAACCAGAAGCTTAACCCTTTCGGCCCTGGCGGTGGCAATTGCCACCATCAAATTCAAATGTCTGCATTACCGCTGCAACAGCATATTTCTCTACCCACTGCTAGAGATTACTTCAGACAACCTTCCCCTTCCTAATTATGCTTTGAACCTGCCATTTTATTGTGTTGCTGTTAGCATTACAAGTATTTGTGTACAAGTGCAACAATGAATCGGCGCTGGTCCCCGCAAGCTGCCAAGGTAAGTGTCAATCATTTCTAAAATACTTGAAGTATATTCATTTTCTTATCAAAAACGTGGGTTATAATGTTGTGCAAGATTATAAACTTTTTCGGCATAACTAAGAAATTTGGAATTGTTTCGACATAAGCTAAAAACTAAGAAGGTGGCCAATTTTCAAAGCTTCCTAGTTTCTTTGTTTGTGATCGAATAGCTTCCAAATTTCGCTATAATGATACTTATATGCTCACAAGTAATAAACAATAGCTAGAAGAAAAATTTTCCACGGGGAAAAATTCAGGTCCGAAAGGGTTAAGTTCGTCACTTTTAAACGCTTCTTTTTT